ATCATACCTTTTGCTACCTTGAAACAAGAGCATGGATTGTATTCCCGTATTAATGAATTCTTACAACACTAGCGAGTGAAGGCCTTCCCTCAAACCATGCTGAGCTCCTGCAGAGATATATATCTCTCTATTTTTTTTTCTATACAGAAATACCTACAGATTCAGGCCTCCATTCAAAACTTTTAAGTGATTTTTAAGTGGTGCCATTAAGTCTGAAGAAGGAGGAACATTCCTCTGAAAAAACCAAGGTATTTATGGATTCATAGATCTCGAAGCTGAGGCAGGTAGCTCAGACCGAGTCTCCATCCTGGCAGCGGAAGGGCCATTGCAGTCTCGGCTGCCTCCCCTGGCCCAGGGAAGGCATCCAGCCCCGACTTAGCGTGGCACCCACCTCTGCCGGCCGTTCCGCTGGTATCTTCCTTCTCCTTGTTAAAAAGTAATTGCATGAAAGACTCCTGCACTTATTTCTATTTTCAGATCGTCTGGTTTCGGTTTTGAACCATTAGTTCTTTGAATGTTTCTCTCCGCTCCAATCCCCCCTGCATACAATTATTTCCCCCCTCATAAGGTATCCCACACAACTGAGGCACTTCTGAGTAGTTTTTCTGAGAAAACAAGTCATCTTTATATGTTAGTGCAAATGTATTTGCTCTGGGGTTGTAACCGTTTTCCGTAATGTCTCCCAGGTTACAACCTGAACTTGTAAAAGGTAGTAACCCAAATGGTGTATTGTACCCAGGATCCTCACCACAGACCCGGGAAGATTACGTCAACTTCTTATTTCTGCTTATGTGTCCAAGGACGAGTTCTGATGCCAGTGTTTCATAGTGGGAGCTCACGCTGAATTGCTTGTCCACCAGAGCTGCACAGGATTTAGGGGTAATTGCTGCTTTCCACCTTCCGTAGCTATGTGTATTTTACACAGTGAACAAAAACATTTATTTAAGACCAAGTACCACTAACTTTTCCAATAACACCCCTATTCCACAATGATTTCCTAATGGAAACTATTTTGAGATTGTTGGTCGGTCCGTTCCTAAATTTTGTATCGGGTGATACTGTGCAACACTTATGTTTTAATGACAGTAATGCGATACTTAAGGTGATAATTAAGTGCCAAGCACTTAAATAATTCTAGGTGCACCTATATTACAAACTTTATCAACTCTCTTTTTCAATTACTCCCCCCCCATTTTCATAAAACCATACTAATGTGAATTTCTTGTGGGGTCATTTATCAGCTTTTGCATTATTTGGCCCAGGATGACTGTTAATGCTACCTGGCATATAGTATTTCTTTCCCTAGTTAATGGGATAATTGGTCATGAATTTGTCACATGTGGACTCTCCTGTGGTTTCCATGCTATTCCAAGATTTAATTTCTTCTCTGTAAGACAGGTCTCTCAGCCTGCCTCAAAAGCATGCAGTGCCAGTCAAGCATGCAATACTGGACCTAAGAAAGTGGAACTTTCACAATTTAGCCCCCAAGGAAAAAGAACTAAAAACTCTGGAGAAAGCAATTTGCCTGTGGACTGAGAATATGCTTATTCTATCAAATATCACTTTCATATTGTTTATAGTGATTTTGTCAAAGTAACTAGTACTTAGAGAAAATGAGAAACAGTACCCTGAAATTAGAGTCTGACATCAAAGGCAGCGGCATAATTTTTGAAGAAAAGCAGTGGATTGGCCAATTAATTTCTTTGCTTGCCATACTGACTTCCCTCTGAAGATTTCAAAACACTTAAAAAATACACCGCACTCCGTAACGCTGCGCTAATTTGCTGGGAAAGCTAGAAGGGGTTGTGTCCTTCCCATTAGCAACTAGCTGTAGATGCAGGAGATGTTTGTACATCATCTGGCAGGGTATTACCTGACAGCTTTTCTCATCTGTCATCTCAACTGCAAGTTGCAAACTTCACTTCAGTGTGCCAGGAAGGCAGGTAGGATAATTAAAGTGGATGATAGAAAAGAGACATCAGGGAACTGATCTGCACTGAAGCATCCAGAACGATGTCTGAAGCCAACTAAAACCAGAGGTACTGGGCAGTATCTCTTCACCTCTCCTTCCCCCCCAGCCAGGCTTTAAGTGAGATATCGCTGTCACAAAACCTGCGGAGTAACTGGGAATTGCAATCTGTCTTCTGCCTCCTACTGCTTTGTTTCTGTGACTCTCATATTAACGAGGTTAAATGTATCTTGTAATTTTGGGGTTTGATGCAGACACAGCCATCAAAAAGCTTGCTGTCAATGTAACTGAAAAAAGCATACTGTAGATTTTATCAGACATGACTCATAAAAAGAGATGTTAGGACCCTCTTTCTTCTCTGTATTAATGACTAGTTGAGTGACACTAACTTTTGATAGACACCATAAAGAGTAATATGCTTTCTGTAGTTTTAAGCATGTCCACACTGGATGAATTATCGTATCTTAGGTGTGAATACAGAATAGTTTTATGGAACTCACAACTTGGCTGAATTCCCAGAAGCCTTTGAGACAGTCAAAGAGTTACTGATTTTATACCTGATTAGGAAGCTTACAAATCTTGGAAGCTAAATTAACAGTAACGAAACAAAATTAGAAACCATCTACGTAATTTTTTCCTAACTAAATGTTACTTTGATCAATACCCTTTTAAAGTCTATCTGGATGATTCAACTATTAGGAGGTTAGGTACATTCCTTCGAACGTAAGATCCCTTATATGTATATAAATCTGCATTTTCAAAGTGCATTAGGAAATCAAGTTATCAGATATTAAAGCTCCAATCTACAAACTCCAAAGCAAGACTTTGGTAAGTCAAACCAGATCCTTTCCTTCTTCGTGATTTTTCCAAGCAAGTTCTAGGCTAACATGATATGAGAAAACAAACGGAGTGTGAATGTGGCAGGGCTCTTTGTGTTGTGCTATTCAAAGAGATGATCACTTGTCTAGGATTACTTCCTCTACTCTATAACTTGAGGGATATATCTCATCTCTGAAGTGCTCTCACTAAAATACGCAAGTTAAGCTCACAAGCTATTTGGTACATAACTTTGTATCTTAAGCTATGTACAACTAAATACAAGGCTTTAAGCCAAAAGCTTGTATCATTTTCCCCTCACCATATCAATTTATCTAATGTTAAATATATTGCCTCATTTCACCAACCATCTCAGAGTTAGTATCTTTCCACTTGACTAATTATGTTACAGTATTACTTTTAAAAAAAAAAACAGATTTTTTTTATGGCAATAAACAATTTTGTTGCAGCCTTACAAATGTTTTTAGAGCCACACAACGACAGGAGAGAATCCTTTTTATATATACCACCTTCTGGAAATGCTAGTAATCTTATTCTGTGTTGGTCATTAAATAGCAATTTTGTAACAGATAATATAAGCCTTAAACAAAGACTACCCATTACACAAACACTGTGGGAAAAGAATTTGTAAGAAAATGGAAGACTAAATAAGGCCTTGAATAGCTTTATTGAAATCTGTATAAATAAACATGCGCATTTCAAATGTAAACCCAAGTGAACTCAAGTGCAGACAAAATTTTAACCTCTGTCATGCAGGAGGTTAGTTTACATTAAAAAAAAAAAAAACCCAAAAAAACCTCAAAGCAGCTTTAAAATACCAGGATGAAACACCAGTTTTAATATCAAGGTATAAAGCAAAGCCATGTCCAACATACCTCATTTATATCCTGGTCAAATGCAATTTTTTAAATCTTTTTAATGCTAACATAAATAAATAATTTACCAAAATGTGCACTCACAGAGTGAACTTTTATTTACAATACACAATTTATAACCTATTGTATTTGATTAGTTCAAGTGAAGAACATCATACTTTTTGCTTTTTTCTTTTTTAAATTATTTGTTTAAACAGTGGGACACAAAGCAATTCTCCAGGTAGTAGATATGTGAAGTGTGCCCCTGCACTTACAGAGCCCCTCTCAAAGGCAGTATTGTATACAAATCAACAATACATTCTTCCAACTAGATTAAAGGGAAAGCAGCAAATTAATAAATGTTTCAAACTGTCACACTTGTTTTGGCATCCTGGACCGCTGAACATAGTTAACTAAAATCCAATTCATAGTCTGTATGCCTTATATACTGTACAGGTTCTGACTTGAACATGCAAATGCCAATTCTCTTAATGAGTTACCTTTTCAGATATGCTGTAAGGCTACGGTGAATTCCGTCAGGAACACACAAAGAAAATTAATCAGGCCTACCTTTAAAGTCATTTTGTTCACTAACAATTTAAAGGCAGGTTATATTGAAAAAATTCTCATCTAAGCCCAATACACAGCCATTACTATGGATACAGAAGACTATTAACTCTGACCCTGTTACAGAGTAGTTTGCAAGCTGTCAAACTACAAAAACTGGGGAGAGAGAACTTGCAGCACAATTTTAAATTTTGGACTGACACCGGATTAAAAATATGCATGTCTTATAAGCAAGATAACAGGAATTACGTTGGCAGAGTAGATTCCAACAAGCAACAAAGGATACTTACATTTAATTCAAAAACTTTTTGTTAATGCAGCATGAAATCCAGAACCTGTTCCACAGCAGCAGTAAGATGAACATAATATTCTGGATGCTCAACTATATCACAAAAGGTTAAAACACCTTTTCAAGCTATTTCTTCTACTGTGACCAATTTTATAAAAAAAAAAAAATTAGGGAGAAACAGAAATTTGCTGTTTCAAGAAAACCACTGTTTAGATATTTATGACATTTTTACTTGTAGTCTGTGTGACAGCCTAAGGAACATGTATATATTCATCCAGAAATTAGACTTGGCAGTAGTATTCTTGCAGTACTGAGAAAATAAATGTCCAGAAGTCCACAGATTTAACATTTTAGTTATTAACTCACATCCAAAACTAAAGAAAACATAATCCATCAGAACAGCAGCAGAAAACTTAAAAGGGGTTTATTTGTGATTTCCTATATATAGCTTGTGAATACAAGACTGTAAATGCATTAGAGACAATTTCTGTTTAAGTTTTTATTGTTTCACTTCAAGTACTGCACATGTTAAAATGCAATAAAGATTTACATTCTGTTATCCGAAATTCCCCATCTCAGACTTTTATTCTTAATTTGGTGGGCAATTTCACTCTTTCAATAGGTATCCCCAGTAAGAAAGTCTCTTTTATGGCTTCTAGTTCTTCCATTAGTTAGTGTGCATACAATTTTCATTTTCAATATCATTATCATTTTCATTGCTGTCTTCATCACTTTCTAGCGGGATGCCTGTGGCAGCTGAAGCACCTTGTTTAGTTTCCCGGTCAAGAGGGAAAAAGCCAGTTCCACTGATTGTGTCCTGTCTCTGGTAGAAAAGCACATATGCTGCTTTGGACTGTAAAAAGAGAGAAGTATAATATGCTCATGAGGCTCCAGACAAAACATTTGCAATCCAAGTTATGCTCCCCTCATGCCCCGCCCCAAATGTATAAGGTAAAATTACAAAGAAATTCAAAGCTTACATGTAAATAATTTTTTATGTTGGAGCAAACCATTTTTGTTTCCTACTGTCCTTTGAAAGAACACAAACTACTATCTACAAATTTACTGCAAGATTCATGATTTACTCTTCATTTTTCTTCCCTCAAGAAAAAAACATCATCAGCAGTCCCAATTTTAGAAACACAAAAGGTACTTGCCACTATTTGGTCCTCACATGCAGTGGACACACTACTGTCATCAAAGTAGTACCATTTTCCATCATCCTTATTTTTTGCAAACGCAGTATCTACAACAACAAAGTACAATGTCTAAGGACTTTGTATCTTCATAGATGTAATAAAATCAGTTGCTAGAGTCCGTAACTGTCAAACACTTGATATTTAACTAAAACCTATTATCAGTGTTAAACTCATACTTTTTTTTTTAAGCATAGGAACTTAACCAATACCATTACCGTTCTAAAGAGAAAGGACAGTCAAAATAAAATGCATCAGTCACTTTTTCATTTTTCTCTCTGCTTTCAAGAAGATGCACAATGGGCAAAAATACAGACCAGTAAGACAAAATCAGTTATAAGAGTACAGTAGCTCTTACGGAGTTCTTAATTTTTCCCTTTTCACAACATGCATAGCTAGAAGTATAAAAGAACCTACAATTATCCTTGAAAGCTCATTTCATATATTCATATATTCTAACCCATATTAATTTGTGTTAGAATACTTGTGAAAATGTTTCAAAGTAATGAAAAAAAATTGTCCTATAACCATTAAAAAATGCCATTGATGCAAAATGATCAGTACTTTATTAATTAAAATTAACATGGAAAGAAAGCTGACATGTAGAATTAGGATATTTGAAATCAACTTACAATGCCCTCCTCCCATTCCTCCATAGTGGTTGGAGACAGCAATCAAGTTGTAGCGGCAAGGCCCTGCATTGGGATTAATAAGGAACTCTGACATGTCCAAGTCGCTGTTTAAAAAACAAGCAAACAAAAAAAAGAACACACACACACACAAAAAAAAACAACCAAAAGAAGGTCATATTAGCAATATTTTTTAACCATTTCACATTTTGGTGGTCTTTGAGCCCTTTACTTTATATTCCCCACAAAAAAACATTCACCAGACTACACTGACGGTGCATCTCTCTCACTCTGTGAGGAGTAGAACAAGAACCAGTAATCTTAGCCAAAACTATTAATAGAGTTCTTCCATACTTATCTACTATTACTATTTTACTAAGTTCATACTTTCCGCTTACAAGCATTTTGTCATCAGTGTTTACTGGATCCACACGTGGAAGCTGAGAACAAAACCATTTCACATAATTGCTGGATTAAATATGTGCCCTAGTCATGCCAACTTTTACACTTCTAGCACCAAAACATTTAGGTTTCTTACTTTATTGGAAAGTCAACCAATGTATCCAACTTGTCCCTCATATATCTGCTGTAGGAAAAGCGCTTTAGATGAACTACCAGTACGGGGGGCAATGACCACAAGTCTAACTTCTTGGTAGCCTGCTGATGTTCTTTACAGTTTGGACAATACCTAAAAGAAAACAAAATAGCAATTTTAAATAACTGCAGTCTGTATATATGTTACAATACCTTACCATAGAGAAAGCCAGTAGCATGGGAGGAACTGAATGAGCAAAAGGTGAAACACACACACGTTCCATCTTCTGTTACTAATGCCACTGATATCCCTCCCAGTTTAAAACATGAGATGCTCATGTGCGAGCATGCTCACAGTGAAGCTGGACAGCATTTTAAAGACAAAAGTAGCACCCCCAAATATAGGGATTCTCATCTCCTATAGTAGTCCCTGTATCTTTAGTTAAAACACAGCTTTCTCCTATTTTCTAAAAAAAGACAAAAGGTTTTGAAAATACTTCAGGAAAACTAACTATATGAGAAGCCATAAATAACAGACAACCATGGTTCTTCCAAGTTTCAATTTCTAACTGCATCCATCTCCCACCCCATCCCACTTACCACTAAAACCAGGGAACAGTGACTACTGGAGCCTCAAAAACCTCCTTACTAAGTAAAAAAAACTTGCCTCCTTAGTCGGCAAGTACAAAACAGGCTGTGATTTATAAATTTCTGTTCCCTGCAATGCATACTTGAATCTTTCAAGAACTAAGGCTCAGGGAGGAAGATAAGCAAGAACAATGCATGGAAGCAACTCTTCTCTAAAGTGGTCTATGCATATTCGACATCTTGGTATCTAACAAGTAAAGATCTAAGGAAAAAAAAAAAAAAGAGATGAGCCCTAATTAAAAAAGACTGCACAAGTGTCTTTACATAGCAACAACAGATAAAGACAAGAAATTAGGAGAACTGTAAGGGCAGGCTGTAACTGAAGAACTGTTTTTCCAGTTGGTTTAGCCTATCTGGAATACAAACAGTGCTGGACTAGGGATGATGAGCTCTTAGATTAGACCTGTGAAGACCTGACAAATGAAGAAAGACTCTGATTAATGACCTCTGGTGAGATGCAGTAGCAACTGCTTGACTTCAGCAGTAGTTGCAGTTTAAATACTCTGCTTAAAATGTGCTGCAAAAATGGAAGTGCTTCACCACACTTCAGTTATACAGTATCTCAAATAGTCTATCCAGTGTTGTATAATGTAGCCAACCCAGAAAAAAATTAGAATTTATAAGTCAGCCCCCTCCCCCGCCCAGTAAAGGAGGATGTTTGGTGACAAAGTTTGGAAGTCTCCAAAGCTTCTAAGTAGCCACAGAAGAAAAAGTGGCAGACCCTCTTTTCAAACTTAATTCTGAGCTTCAGCTGTTGATAAAGGATTCTTATCTGCTACAAAATTGCCAGAGAAGACAGATCTTACAGGAACACAGAATCATAGAATAGTTTGGCTTGGAAGGGACCTTTAAACGACATCTAGTCCAACCCCCCTGCAATGAGCAGGGACATCTTCAACTAGATCACGTTGCTCACGGCCCTGTCCAACCTGACCTGGAATATTTCCAGGGATGGGTCATCTACCACCTCTCTGGGCAACCTCTGCCAGTGTTTCACCATCCTCATTGTCAAAAATTTCTTCCTCAGTCTGAATCTGCCTTCTTTTAGTTTAAAACCATTACCCCTTGTCCTGTTGCAACAGACCCTGCCAAAAAGTCTGTCCCCACCTTTCTTATAAAACCCCCTTTAAGTACTGGAAGGCTGCAAGAAGGTCTCTCGGGAGCCTGCTCTTCTCCAGGCTGAACAACCCCAACTCTCTCAGCCTGTCCTCATAGGGGAGGTGTTCCACCTCTCTGATCATTTTTGTGTCCCTCCTCTGGACCCTCTCCAACAGGCCCATGTCTTTCCTGTGCTGAGGGCTCCAGAGCTGGATGCAGGACTCCAGGTGGGGTCTCTCCAGAGAGAAGTAGAGGGGCAGAATCACCTCCCTCAACCTGCTGGCCATGCTGCTTTGCATGCAGCCCAGGATACAGCTGGCCTTCTGAGCTGTGAGCACACATAGCTGGCTCATGTCCAGCTTTTCACCCACCAGCATCCCCGCCCCCCAAGTCCTTCTCAGCAGGGCTGCTCTCAATCCCTTCATCCCCCAGCCTGTATTGATACCAGAAGTTGCCCCAACCCAGGTGCAGGACCCTGCACTTCGCCTTCTTGAACCTCATGAGGTTCACACGGGCCCAGTCCTCGAGCTTGTCCAGGTCCCTCTGGATGGCATCCTGTTCCTCAAGTGTGTCAACCGCACCACTCAGCTTGGTGTCATGTGCAAACTTTCTAAGGGTATACTTGATCCCACTGTCTATGTCATTGATGAAGAGTACTGGTGCCAGTATGGATGCCTGAGGGACACTGCTCGTCACTGATCTCCATCTGGACATTGAGCTGTTGACCACTACCCTCTGGGTGCAACCATCCGACCAATTCCTCATCCACCCAACAAATCCCTATTTCTCCAATTTAGAGAGAAGGATGTTGTGAGGGCCATATCAAAGGCCTTAGAAGTCCAGACAGACAACATCGGTAGCTCTCCCCTCGTCCACTGATGTGGTCACTTCATCTTAGAAGGCCACATCCTGTAACTGTGAATATTCAGATATGATTCCAAGTAATTTGGAAGAAACATGAATCAGAATAAAAGTCTCTATCAAAAACTTAATGGTTGGAACATGAATTTGAGAGGTTCTACTGACTACAGACATCCCTCATCCCACAAACCTGTTTAAGCACATCCCTGTTCATATATCAATGCAAGGCAAGTTATGTATTTGCATTAAAAAACTTCATTATGCACCAACCTTTCTCATCTCAGAAAGGAGTATTTGTTTAAACCGCTGCATTGGATTTGGCACAACATTATTCATTCACTGTGGATCACAGTTTGCAGACCAGGATCTCTTATGGATCTACACTTCCTCCTAATTCTGAATATGCATTGTCTCCCACACAAACACAACCTTCTGTATATGGTAACAATCTTAGTTAAGCAACAGATCAATACAGAAAAAATTTTAAGAATTTTCAACTATGCGTGAAATTACAAGATTCAAAATACCATTAAGAAATCAATTAGGTATCTCTGTTAATGTCCAAGTGTGATTTTGATTACATTTTGAAAAATACACCATAAAACATAACAATTTTAATTTTTTGTCCTTACCATGGGTCTTCAGCACCTAGTTTTTCCTTTGTTGTGAACAGCTCAATGCAATCTTTTAATTTCACAAAAGGCTTTTTGGGAGGCTTATATTCCACACTTTCATGTTTTTCAAAATCCTAAAGAGAAGTATTTCTTGAGTTAAGAGAACAAATGAAACAAAACTCATTTTAGTGATGTCGTCTTACTATAAACAGTAACTACAAAGCTCCTATATATGGAAAAACTGATCAGAAACCATTCAAGCAAAAAGTTTTCACAGCTTCAGATTTACTTCCAAATTAGTAAGCCTCAGATTTTCTTATTACTTAGTTGTGTAAACGTTTATTTATGACAACGTATTTACTATGAATAATGTGAAAAAAACCCCAGCTACTTCTTTTGAAGATTTACAATCTCTTATGTCACATTAAGTTGTATTTTTCATATTTTTATTCACAAAGTTTTATTAGTGCTGGAAAGGGGAGCAACATAAACAGCTTACCTCTGCTGCACTATCATCAAAATATCTCTTCTTCAATTCAGGATCCCAATCCAAAGCAAGGAAAGATCTTTCTAAGATTAAAAACATGTTTTCTCTTAATATTATTTCTTGCTTTACATGAAATTGTATTAACTTTGGGCAAACAGTCTTCAAAATGAATTAAACAACGCTAGCATGAATTCAAGATGAAAAATTGAAGCACACACAATTTCTGCATTTCTAAGAGTTAACTACAATAATTATTTATACAGAATTTACTGTTGGAAAAAAGATATCTCAAATAGCACACAGAAAGAGTGAAACATTATTCTACAGAAGTGTGAGTCAGAAAAAAATATCAGAATCAAATGTTGCCCAAACTGTTCCCAATGACTTACCATCAAGCCTAGGTTGCCTGTCATCAAATCTAATATGCCTGGTATCATCTTTGATGTAGTTTATGTCAGTATTGCCTAAATTATTGAACTGGAATGTAAACAATCGCTTTTTGTGTCCCGTGAGTGGTTGACCTTTGCAAGTATCCTCAGTACATAATCCATTTTCAGAGTCATTGTCACCTCCAACTGAGTCTTCTGACTGGCTGTTTTCGTTCTCTGAAGGAAGTTCCTGATCCTGGCTAGATTCATCATCTTGTTCATCTGTTTCCATTTCACCTAAAACAATCGGAAGAAGGAGGAAGAAATGAGGTAGAATAACAATAATTGAAAGACACTACAGAATTAACATCATTTTCAGATTGAACACAAAATACCAAACAAGTTTAGATATTTCAGTCTTACTTGGAGATCCTTCTTCATGTATTCCATTTGGGCCATTACCATTGATACCATGGTCCTTACAGCAATGTAGGGATCCTTCAGTGTCTTCACTTTCAGTACATGTTTTTACGTATCGGCTAAATACGACATATGAAAACACCAGTTAGAATCAATGGATTGTTAAATATTTACATTGTTCAAACCAGATAATTAAACAGTTACAGTAAATCCTTTCTAGTGTACTGTATTCCTGCACTCCCTTCTGATTTATTCAGAATTAGTAATTTTATTGCCTAACATGTCTACTATTACAGGTACATCTGAAATTCTGCTTGTCTATGATCTTATATTTTCAGCAGTTACATGATTTTATACAACTTGATTGTTGGTATTAGTTTCTGTTTGTCCAGAAATCACTTCTTTACCTGTTCATTAACCATATTTTTTTACACAAAAAAATATATAGGTTCACTTACAGAGAAAGTTATATCAACAGAAAATGAAGCATAGATTTAAATTGCAGGTTATATGATTCTACTTTCTTCCTCATAATGACACTTATTCCAGTCAAGTTTCAGAAAGTGTCTACCATGTAATTTTACAACATAAATTAGTATATAAACTTGTATAGTACATACAGGAGGTATAAACATAGCAGAATAATTGGCAAAATATTTCCTTTTTACCAAGCCCTAACAAACAGCAATGTATACTGCAAAATTAATACCCCTAAACTGACAATACTGGTTTACTCTCTACGCTCTTCTCAAATCATTTTTGGATAAGGTCATACTAACAAAAAATCAAATTAAAATCCATACTAGTTCACATCTCAAGTGGCTAAAATTTTAGATTTAATATATTTAATGGACAGCAAATAAAAGACTAAATACTCCAATCTAATCAGTTTGTTATCAATGCATGTAAAAATAAGTGCCTACTGATTGCAACTATTAGTATTATACATAATAAATGCATTTTCCTTTAAACAATAATCTTACCACATTCTTAGCAGCAGCAGGTTATAGAGTTTATCTTCAGTATTGTTTCTAGGCACTGCTATGAGAAAAGGTTGACCAAACAGTGAAGAACCACTATGGCTGTAGCTAGTGTGCCTGCACTTTTCCCTTAAACAAACAGGAATTATAACTTGTTCTGTGTCTTCGGTTCTATTGATAGCAATTTCAAATCTAAAAGAAAAACAATCAGAAATACAAAGGACAACTGTAATTTAAAAGGCTACAAAGTGGAAAAATTAAAAAATAGTAACCCCTCCCCCCAAATTTGTCTTTATCTTATGTGTAGGTTTTAATCTTTGCAAACAACTAAACAAACCGCAGAGACATGAAGTGTGTTATCTGTACTTACACATAAATGTCATCACGTTCCATAATACTACTTAGATTTTCATCCATGCCAAATATCCTGTGGAACCTGTGATTGTATATATCAGTAACAATCATCTAAAAAGAAAATGGGAGTATATATCATTAAATCAGGTTTATATGTGTTAAAATATTCACTGTTGTGCTTCATGTAAGAAATCACTCTTACCTTATCTGCAGCAACACCAGACAAAGCCGACAACGCTGTGCAAAGATCCAATATATTTCCAATTTTGGGAACAACCACTTTGTACTAAACAAAAATTAAAATGTCATTTTAATTTCTTAAGAGAACAAATATGCATGAGAAAAAACCCAAACTTATCACATGTTCAGCATACTTCATGTACTACTTTCAGATTCTTGCACTTAAGGTATAAAGTATGTAAATCAACTAACACAAATTCCAATAGCTGCTGAGAACATAGTAGTTACCTTCACAACTTTATTCATACAAACACACACACTTTGAATACTATATTTATTACTTTATACAATTTTTTTAACGTTACATTACCTTCTCCATAAGAAGACTAGCAGCACCACTTACTTAGATTTATATTTCAACAGCACCTACTTATTTTGGCATTTAAATTGTACACATGCTATTGACTAGATTCTTAAATTTGGAATATGACACAAGTTGTTTATATGGTATTACTGGGAAGAAAGCAACAGCAGGCAATGGATAAAGATGGAATTCTGATTTCACATGCAGAGAGAGAACCTGATGATTAATAGTCAAAGAAAATCTGTGGCTTCCCTTAGTGCAGTACACTTGCAGTTTGTAATGAAACTCCACACAGGACTCTTACCTGTCATTTGCATAATAAATAAAGACAGGATTAATTAGAAATAGTATTATAACTTTGTAATTAAATGCCAAGTACAGCATGTGTTTGGCATCTCCTTAAGTCTTATAGTTATTTAGACTCACAACAGCTCTACCAAGCTCCTACTCTTCCCAAACTCTACTCATTGTTGCATAACCATCTCAAGTTACACAGGGTCATCTTCAACTACTGTCTGTCCTTTGTGCAAACCTGTTCTCACAAATAGTTAAATTTCTATTGGGCTCATCTCCCACTAGTTAATACATGCCCATTTATCTTTGACTTCCCGAACTCATACAGCCTTTGAGAACGCTCCCTTTTCCCCCCACTCTCCTTCTCATAGCACTCTTTTTACAGGTGTTAAAGTCTTTTTCCAAGTCTGCCTAAGTGCCTGTTTCTTATTTATTTCACCTATCCTCACTTAACCCTGTAAAGTACAGCTAGAACTATTTAATCGTGATTTTGTTACCATAACCTATGCATGTTGTTTCATGCCATTCTGTGTACGATACCATCCTTCCTAAAAAAGGCAAGAGACACTCTTAACCAAAAAATCTCATCTGAATTTTTTTCTTTTGACCATTAAGCAATAGCATAGAAGAATTCAGGACTACCTAATAGATTTCAACATGGGTTTTTTTGTACCACTTACTACCAATATTTGCCTTTTGAGGCTAAGAAATTGAGGAATTACGTCTTAAGTGCATAAATATTTTTTTTATAACCATACAAATTCATTATAGCAACACTGAAATGAAAAATGAGGACAGTATACGTTTTAAAGATTAGGACACCTTATTAACATACCAGAATACAAACCAGAAAACTAAAGCTTGTTGGATTTGCTTATTGTACTTACAAGTTTTAAAAATGTAAAGGAACTCAGGTTCATTGTTAATGCCACACGAATCAGGAGTTTTGTACATAAACTGAGAGGCTTACCTGTGTAGGTTTTGCAAGTGGATCCATTCTAACTAAATAAACTTCCAAAGTGCGTTCTTTTTTCATGGGTAATGGAAGTGTCAAGTAACAAAAGGGATCAAAGGTTACAGATATCTTAGCACATTCAGGACAAACTAGGGTGGATTTAAAAAGGCCATGAAATATATCTACAATGATGGAATCATTTCTTTTTAAATGGTTTTCCCAGGCTTCTTCAGCAACCACCTGAAATCAAAGTATGACCTGGGTTAGGACAAAGTAATAGGAAATGAATAGTGAGAATTATTAGTAAGAGTACTTGATAAAACATTCTCAGTTACCACCTAAACATAGACATCTCACTCCAAAGGACCCTGCAAATTATGATACTACTATCAGGATCACAGGTTAAAAGATGTATGCTTTTCTTAGGGACAGCGATTCTGTCAGTGGTATTACATAGTCTGTGAGAGACTTCAAGTAGCTTGGGGCAAGACAAAAGCAAATAAAACTAAAAATTCCATCTGAAGTGTCTCATAACAAAAGAAATTATCTATATGCTTGTAGTTCAATGCTAGAAGAGTTCCCTTAAAGTAAGAGTACTGGAGACAGAACACTGCATACTGTAGATATAAGAATAAAAGAACAACAAAATGGAAATTGTTTTTCCAACTGAACTCAGCGTTGAACTGAACAAAAAGGTCAAAGCCTTAACAATCTCCCACCCCACAATTATCTTCCAAATAAATGGAAATTTACACAGGTATTTGAAAAAGATCTCCATTTTAAGGTCTTGACTTATTTTCTGAAATCTCTTTAAGAAAAAGCAATATGTGATCAGTGTCCCAACCTTTCAGTGTACAATCATGTAGAAGTATATTGCAACATATAGCCTTGACTAAAATGATCAACACCAAGAACACTACCTTGTCTGGTCTACCATCTGCATCCTTTAACTGAATGTAAGGCTTTTTCCTAATGCGATTCAAATCCTCATGTAACCCATCCAAGAGGAAAGCCAGTAGCTCTTGACAATCTTGTTGCTGATAACCAGAAAATTGTGGTGCAAATCGTCCCACCTGTGTCTAAAAAAATAAACACAAGTACTTCTGGTACCTTAATTGTTATAAAGAATAGATACTGCTGAGATGCTACAGCAGAAAGGTGAAAACGTAAAACTTAGGAAGTTATAAAAGATAAGCTTTTCAATGGAGACAGGAAGCCAAAACTAATTCTCAAAGACCAAAGCACAAGGACAGTTGACACTTATTTAAATATACATCCAAGTGTTTTAACAGTTAAATGAATGAACTGCATACTGATGACTATTACTTCAAATTCTTATTCTTGCGTATTTCCCCAAGTTTTGTATACTTCAACTACAAAAACAAAACCGACAATGTACATTCAGGTTAAATTCACTACTGACCTTAAATGCTCTTGGGGTAACATAGCTGTATTTTCCTGACCACATTTGCTTGATAAGCTCTGCATAAGATTTTGCTATTTCACCTCGCATTCCTAAAGGATTGTCAAAATTCAGCTCTTCTTGGTATTTATCATTAAGGAAGTATTCTGTAAGAGGAGGCGTGTTGCTCAGACACTGTAAATAGAAATACAGAATTTTTAGAACACTGATTTGAATTAGTTCTAAACAAAGAATGTTTGAACTCTGTTAAAGCAGCCATGAACAATACTTTACACTGTAATGCTTAATGCCCGCAAGGGGGGGGGGGGGGGGGGGGGGGGGGGGGGGTTTGGGGGGAGTGTGTGTGTAGTGTTTTCCAGAAATAAATAGTTTTTCAACCAAGACTGGCTGCAGCTGTCATTATAACTTATACACATATAATATTTTTCAAAAGCTTTATGTAAGAATTTAATAGACATAGCATTCCAGCTAACCATAGTGCAACAACACAATTTGTATCAAGGTTCAAAACAAAAGAAGGTGGTTCTTGATACATACAGCTTTATGAAACTCTTAAAAGTTCTTATAGCACAAAATTTACAGGGCTTCAAGGAGAGACTGCATAGGTACTTGGAAGAGAAAGCCAACAGGGCTTATTAAATCAAATTACACTACATTCAAAACAACATGTAAGCAGAAAATAATTGAAAGCTGAGAGTGTTGTGGGGTTTTTTTTGCAGGTGTGGGAGGGAAGAGAAGGTGAGGATGCTTGTCCTATTCCTTCTCTTCCTAGGCATCTGCTTATGGATGCTGTTGGAGAGAGCAAGCTATGTTGGATGGACTAGACCTTGAACCAGAATTGGTGCAGCCCTTCCCATGTTCCTTTAAATTTTCTGAAGCTGTTTAGAGCTGAAATTAGTTCAAGGAAAGCAAGGGCCTTGGTTTAGACTGAGATAATGACTCCGTACCAGTTTGTCTCTTGTGTCAGCACTTAAGAGAGAGCAGGATGTAATCACTGAAGTATGATTTACAATTTCAGGAAACCACTTTGAATTTTTGTGTGCTACTGCTCACATGCCTTTAAACAAAAACTTTTCCGTCACTCGGAAATAATCCCCATGCCATGTGTTAGCATATAGATTTAGACATGTTTCTTCATTAAATATTATGAGCTTTTCTGCATTTCCCCCCCCCATTAAACATTCCAAGAAAGGTCAAATATAGTCTCATCTGCCTTTCTGCAAACAAGCAGAAGAAAAAAAATTTTAGCTCCACACACACTACTGCATAAGATGCAACAACTGAGACTGCAAGAATTACAACTTTATTGAACGGGGCAAAAAATGGTATTCCTATTTCTGCCTATCATACCTTTGCAGTATTACAAAGCAAAACCAGTCATATGCCGTAGAGAGCTGAGTTTCATGCACTCCTTCCTTTCTCTCCCTCCCCACCTCAAGCTTTCATGAGCTGTCAACACTGCAAAAAAACTCTGGTATTTTGGACACTAAGGGTTGAAGACAGCTCATTTTTCTCCTACCACATGGCAAAGAGCTTTTATTCATAGTAATGGTGATTCCGAGCACCCCCCTACTTCACAGATTTGTGTTGTCAGCTCTGAACTGATCCATGCAACTGAGGTGAAACACTTGGGTCTCTCAAATCCATACAGAAGTGGTCAGTCAGAGAACAATGGACAGTGGAGAAATATTGAACATCATGATTGAAGTCACAGGGAAAAAAGCATCCAGAAACCAATTTGAAAGGAAGCCTACATTCTTATTTTCTCATGTGGTATGTTGTAGGTTATCAAGGAAGCCTTATGGAAAGCATCAATTAAAAACAAAACAAAACAAAAAACTGTTAGAACCAAGACAATCTACTAGACAGCAGTGTCATCAGATTTATGTGCCCTGTTCAACCTAGTGGTTTTGGGGTTCTTTTTTGGTTGTTTTAAAACACAGATATAGATAAACTAACAAGTATACCGACAGATGAAGAATAATAAAAACCCCAAAAGCTAAACAAATACAGTAAACTACAGAAAAACATTTGTGAACTAAAGAGGTAACAGAACAGAATGGCACTTCGTTTCAGGTACTGCAGTCTCCATAAGTCTTCTTTAACCAACAAAACTTCTGTAGTGTGCTCAGTCTCTGCTCCCAGACCGGTCATTTAGCTAAATGATCAGGGGAAAAGATGGAACAGAATGTAGAAACTCCAAGATCAGCTCTGAGACAAACCACGGAAGAGAAGGGTAGGTCTTCTTCAGGTTGGGTAGGGTAGGTTAACAAAGGTTAACATTGAAATTATAGTTCCATATTACATATTAATTAACTGGGGAAAAAAAAAGGAAAAAAATTTTCTGCAGCAGAGCAATCTGTGGATAACAACTATTTATACAATCTCTCCCCCCTACCCCCTCTCTCTTCTCTCCCTAAATGCCGTAGCCTTACTGGAATACTGTAATTCCAATACTAGACCATGATCTTGTTAGCAAGTCTACCTGTCCTATGAAACCTTCATATAGGTAGAAAAATAGTAATAAAAACAGTCATGTTATACTTCGCTAAATCCACATAATTTAAGTATGGGAAAACTCTGATAAAAGGGTTTGCAAGGATGCTGATTGTCTAATTGATAAAAAGAAAATGAAGAAAGAGGGCCACCAAGACAGTCAGTGGCCTGGGAGCACTTGCCCTGTGAGAAAAGGCTGAAGCATTGAGGCTTGTTCAGCCTGCAGAAGAGACTATTTTAGAGAGACCCAACAGCAGCCTTCTAGTACCCACAGGGAAACTAAGGAAAAGGTGGAACCGGGCTCTTCACAGTGGTGCATAGTGGGAGGACAAGAAACAATGGGCATAAGTTGAAACAAGGGAGGTTAAGGATATAAGCAAAAAAATTGTCACTGCAGGAACAGTCAAGTAGGGGAGCTGAGAGGCTGTGCATCCTTGGAGTTTTTCAAGATCCACCTGCATAAAGCCCTGGGCAACCTGGTCTAACCTCAGAGCTGACCTTCCTTTGAGCAGGAGGTTGCACTAGAAACCTCATGAAGTTCCTTCTAACCTGAATTATCCTATGATCCTAACAAGGACACATTTATTCACATCCCATAAGGCATATTACATAGAAATAATGATAAAAATAAAATTTCAAAGGAAAGAAAACATCATTACCTATTATGCTAGTGAACTGGGGAAATAAAAAGCAGACAATAAAATCATGAAATTGAGCTAAAAATTGAGTGTTCCTATAAGTATCATGGTTTTTCAGCCGTTCTACTTAATAACAATTTTATTGAAGGGACGTGGAAATTTCATATTTCAGCCTTCTAATAAAAGACCAAGAGCTGACTGAAAGAAAGATCTAAGCAGTAGCAGAAAAAGTGAATTACTTTACACCTGTCTATCCTACTTTTGTCTGAAGTACTTAGTTTTAGACATGGTGAAAAGTTCTCAGTTAATACACCCCTTAACACAAACTCCGGATGCCTATGGCAGCTGAAACAGAGCACTAAAAACTTAATCATTTCAGGTTTCAGTGAAAGATGTTATGTTTTGTCTAGATAAACTCACAGCCATAAGCAACTGTAGAGGAAATGTTAATCAGGTTTCCGAAGAAAGAAAACTGCTGAAATACCCCACTGCAAAGCTTTCAACAGCTATTGTTCGAAAGTCCAAGTATATATAATCCCACTGATGGAAAAAGCATGAAAATGTGGGGAAAAAAAGTGGTTTTAATGAAAAAATTTACTTAATGTAAATGCTAAGTTTACATTAACTTAATGCTACTTGAATCACAGAATGAAAATTTTGTGAACGCTTAGGTTTTCACTGCAAAAGAAAAAAACCCCACATTTCCCACAGAGCCCTAATCACTAGTATCCCACCAACAGGGCAAAACAATACTTAGGAAAAATCCACAGGTGGCAGCACAGCAACGCTTCAGGAGATTCATATTCTATTTTTTTCAGGTTAGAACATAGCCACGTACATAAGTGAATAAAACATCTACTTGCCAAATACTCTTTTTTTTTAATTTTTGCTTGATATGGGTTCAAGAATTCATAATAATATGTCTGCATAAAGTCCACAAGCTCCCTTTTCTCTTTCCTGTTTTACTTAATGCTCAGATCTGCAACAGCAGACATGTAGCTTAACAATTAAAATCAAGCCCTAGGTGTTCGCACTGAAGTAAATTAGATACATGGAATACCCCTTCAAAAGAATCTGAAAAATCTATACAAAAGAAAAGTTCCAATACAACCAAAATATAACATTATATTGAATTATTGCTTTTTAAAATAAAAAACAGGGGTAAGACAACAGCACTTGGGAGAAATACAATGGTATCTTAACCTTCTTGGCCTTAATTCCACGCAGCTTGCAGCTGTTTGTGGTACTACAGAGGATCTTACCCATCTCTTCACCATCTCTCCTCTTCTTTTGAGCTTTGTTAACACCAAAAGCCCCTACTTGCAAAAGCAAAGGTCTCTTTACAATAATCACTTAGAAGGATGAAGGGACAAGCCTAACCTTACCTATAGACTGAAGAACTATTAAAGAACTTGCAACAAAATTTAAAAAACTGCCAGGATTATCACACTTCCACCTAGTATGGCTACAGGGCAAAAACCTTCAGACAAATTTATCACTCTGGGAGAGCAAGGTGTGCAAGGAACTGGTCCTCTTCTTCAAGGAACACTGATAACAGTTCTGATGCAAACTATCTTCACTGTACATGAGACAAGAGCAAAGAGAAGCTGCCTGAGAAATCAACCTATTTCTGAAGCAGAAATAGCCCTTATGTGAACACTAAGGGCCTCTGTGCTTTCTGGGATCAATGAATAACTGAGAAAAGTGGTAATCGGCAGGGGAGTGGATAAACTAAACTGTTTCTGTTGAAGTGCTGATTACACTCAGCACTGACTGAATGGAGGGGATCAAAGCAGAGCTTTTGCAATAGAACATGAATGGAATTGGAAATTATTTCAGAGTCTAAAACTCTACTGTAAACTATTTTATTTAAAGAAAACAGATTTATCCTGATAAACAACCCTCTGTTGCATAACTGTGAAGGAAGACACTTTAAGAAGGTAAATAAACTAGAGTAGGTAACCAGGGCACATCAGAGAATCACCGAATAGCTGAGGTTGGAAGGCATGTCTGGAGATTGCCTAGTCCAATCCCCTGCTCAAAGGGTCACCTAGAGCAGGTTGATTTGGGAAAGTGTCCAGTCAGGTTTTGAGCACCTCCAAGGATGGAGGCTCCACAGCTTCCCTGGAAAACCTATTCCACTGTTTTACCCTCACTGTAAAACAAAATTTCTTATATTTAAATGGGATTGCCTGTGCTTCAGTTTGTGCCCGTTGCCTCCTGTCCTTCCAATAGGCACCACTGAGAAGGATCTTGCTCCACCTTCTTCATTCCCTCCCACTGGGTATTTATATACATTGATAAGATTGCTCTGGAGCCTTCCCTTCTCCAGGCTGAACAGTCCCAGCTCTCAGCCTCTCCATACAGGTCAGATGCTGCAATCCCTTGAATAACCTTTGTGGCCTCTCACTGGACTTGCTCCAGTATATCCCTGTCTGTCTGGTATTGGGGAGCCCAGAAGTGAACCCAGCACTCCAAGGGTGTCTCACCAGTGCTGAGTGGAGGGGAAGGATCACCTCTCTCAGTCTGCTAGCAATACTCTTCTCAATGCAGCCCAGGAGGCTGTTGGCTGCCTTGGCCCAAGGACACATTGCTGGCTTATGTTCAGCTTTTTGTCCACCAGGACTCCAGGTGCTTCTCTGCCAAGCTACTTTCCATCTGGTCACCTGCCCCACCACACCCCAGTGTGTTCTGGTGCTGGGGGATATTCCTCCCCAGGTGCAGGCCTTTGCATTTCCTTTGACTGAACTTCATGAGGTTCCCGTCTGCCTATTTTTCCAGCCTGCTGAGGTTCCTCTGTATGGCAGCACACCCATCTGGTGTATTAGTCCCTCCTTCCAGATTTGTGTCATCTCTAATCTTGCAGTGGGTTCATTCTGCTCCATCATCCAGGTCAAAGCCTAGCGCATCAAATATTCCCAAGCAGAATTACCTAGTCTGCCATCCATACACTACCCAGGCGCATCCCTGCATTGCTTCCATGATTAGACAAGATCAAGTGCATTCAGAGTGCTTCAACCACAGGCATTACACCTCTAGCCAGAATACTCCGATGTTACTCTGGTAACAGTAGGAGGTAAAATTAATGGCAAATGAGTGCAGTGAAATGTATGCTTTCAGTGTAGTTGGAAAAGGGCAGAAGTAGTAGCAAGAGGAAGACGACTGTAGAACTTGCAGTCTGCGAGACCTTAGTGTGTTAAAAACACGCCATACTTTCACTAAAAAGCACTTACATGGATTTCTTAGATAACATTAAACTCTGAACAATACTTTGAGAGATACAGTAGGTGAAACCCTTTACAATTCCCTGCTAAGAAAGCTGCCAAATAATGCATTTGAAAAAAACACACCGTCAAGGACATGCTAAAGGTACTATGCCAAACTAAAAGCTGCATTGCTCAATAAACACCTAATTTTCTTACCCAGAGCACTGTCTTATGAATCAGCAGAACTGTATTTATTAATTTACACTTTCTCAGAACTTATTTGAACACTTGATTCCCTAGATATAACTGAAAAGCAATGAAGTCAAAGCTGACCTGATTTAGAAATCAGTCCTCAGAATTAAATCCAATTAACACAATGGGACACTGATGTGAACTGTATTAAGTTTGTTAATATGTGTAAGATTCCTAAAGGCAATAACCCATTCTTATAATTCTCACCTAAAAGGTTACTTCTAAATCTACATAGATGCAAATTCATGTATACCAGTTTAACAAAGGTTTGAATAAGTAATAAAAATTATCCTTGTTTTTAATCATTCTAGCCTGATGAACAGTGTAGCATCATAAAAAAATACTTCACTATGTACTAAGAATATACTTTTAATTTAAAAGACAATTCTGGTTCACACACTAGACACAAAAATATTTTCTTTGTCTTTACAATAGCATAATGACACAATTCAGTAACTGAGAGATTACATATAGCATTTTTATTTAGAACGGATGCTGCAAGATGTGTGTCCTTCCCCCTTGCAGTTTAGCCATCTTTCGTGCAGCATGCTAAAAAAAAATTTGAATTACTTCCTGCACTACTCAACTACTCTTCAAGTATCCTCATGAAAACATTTTTAGAAACAAGAATAAATTTAATTTTATAGATGCCTTATATAAATAAGTATGGAATAACCATGGAATAACCCCATACACCACTACGGGCTGGGGGCCAACTGGCTAGAAAGCAGCTTTGCAGAATATGACCCAGTGGTCCTTCCTGTGGGAAAGGTGGCCAGTTGCAAGCTGGGCTGTATTAGCAATAGCAGCCAGAGGCAAAGGGAAGCAGGCCTTCCCTCTATTTGGCACTTACGAGACTGCTGCTGGAGCACTGTCTATTCAGTGCTCCCTAGTGTAAGAAAGAGTGGAGGAGGGCCACCAACATGGTTGTGGGGCTAGAAAACAACATACGAGGAAAGGTTGAGAGCTGTATACATTTGTTCAACCTGAAGACGACAAAGCTAAGGAGAGAGGTTCATGGCCATCTGCAGCTACCTAATAGGAGGCTACAGAAAAGTGGCGCCAGACTTCTCAAAAGTGCATGGTGACAGGACTGGTAGAATGGACACAAACACGAGGTGGGACCTGTGATCATTCTGGTGTCCCTTCTAACACAAATTGTTCTCTGATCCTATATACAGAGAAGGGATAGAAAATCTGCACAGACCATGAAACTCTGCAATATTTCTTCTTTTGAACAAATTTCAACAACTTCATAAATTTAGCTTACCAATTTATCTGAAACTACCTTTTTTCCTGAACAGGCTAAAGAGGAATTCAACGTACTATTTTTTTTTATTTCACCCAAAGAAATCACAAATGTTAAGTCAGGAACCCTTGTGATGACAAAGGAGGAGATTAACTCTGAAGTATGCTTGGTTAAGATCTAGTATCTTTATACTCAGCAGGAAAAAAATGTGAACAAGAACTTAAATACACTTTACATCTTTTTGACATAAGAATGCTTTGATGACAAAACATAAGTTCCAGAAACAAATAAAACCAAATTAAACTACTAGTTCTTTCTGATCATTAATCTACCACTGTAGCTGCCACTTAAAAAGACTGAACTTTTTTGTGTTGTTGACAGTAATACTAGATATACTAGCATTTCTCTTGCAATCATAGCAAAGAAATAACCTATTACATTCCTGTAAAATATCTTATCCATGAAATAACAGCTATTCAAAGGAGAAAGGTCAAAGGGAAATATGTTCAAAGATTGCCTGCATGTTAACCTGCACACTGAAAGTTACCTGATAAACAGTTAGAAACAGAAGCCCAGCAATCTACCAGTCATCCACTTTTTGACACTTCAGCACTACAACCTGCACATCTCAAAATGAAAAAGTATTTTTTGTGACATGCATATTATTACAAAAGCAACGAATCCACTGTCCAAGTAATAAGGCAAGCTCATTTTATTATGAGGTACGTACCTGAATAGCTGAATTCATGAAACATGTATTCCCCAAGTTACTCAGGCCACACAGGCCTGGCTGCTCATTGTGTCTTCCTGGCTCTGAATAATCGTAATTCTTATAAGCAGTATATGATGGGAGACAATAGTTTGAATTTTTCACACTGCAAAAAAGCAAAACATCTTTCACAATGTAAACATGTACTCTATAGTACTTTAATACATAGAAGTACTTTATAAATTTAAAGGATTAAAAATGTTAAAGTGAATTCTGTGAACAAGAAAGGATTTTAAAGAAGTTGGTAGCAACATAAATTTTAAATTTAAAGTCAACCGTGCAAAAAACCAAAATCTAATGTACTGCAATAGCTGTAATTATTATATCCCTACCCCTTTTTGATAGGAGCAGCTTCACAGCTTACTCTATTCTTCATTGTTCCATCAAATTTAATACACTCAGACTTTAGACACCACCAGCAGCAATCAATCATTTACATCCCTTTTGCATCCTACTACTGCAAGAGTGAGGTCGGTGGGAACAGGAATGCAGAGTTACAGGTGAAAGCTGAGATTTCCAAGGCCACTGTGGCACAGCTGCCTCACTGCATCAGAGACTATTTATAGCTTCCCTGCTAGGACAGCACAATCCAGCATGCAAATGCAGGAAAGCCTTGAGAGGTAAAAGAATGCGCAAATGCCTTGTAACAACTTCATTATAAATCTCTATGATGCATCTGTTCAGAGAAACTGGAGAAAACTGAAATAGGTAAAATGATAAGATTTAAAGCGATTTGTTTCCAGATGAAATCATGCAAATACTAAATATAGAATAACCCTCAAAACGGTAAAGTAAGCATATCCGAGAACACTAGAAAGGCAAAAGAATCTTGTAAGAAGATGCTCTGTAATATTACAAATGTTAGAAAAACCAACCAACCAGAAAGGTTAAACCCTTTCTTAAATTATTTCAGGCACTGATCATAATGAAATCTATGTTTAGTAGCTTTGGCTGAAGTTCAAGAGTATTTCTACAGTCACTAAGCATTATTCACATTAGAAGCAGTTTGAACAAAAATTTGAAAGTCAATCACTAAGAATGACAAGGAAAAAAATGCAGTGCAAAGAATCAATCCTGATAAATAACTGAGATTTATAATTGTAAAAGTCTGAGGATGCAAGTGCCCAATGTTACACTCTAACCATTACTCCTGAACGGTATCCCACTCTACATCCAATTGAATTCCAACTGTCCCCTCAGCGCACACTCACTTTTCATGAATAACACTTTTTTTTTTTTTTAATCACAAGAGTTAATGAAAATTTCAAAATGAAGGGGAAGCAAATCTGTGTAGTTTATAGCTCCACTGTCCATAAAGCTGCTGTTCTCAAACTTTTACATCTGATTATTTTTAATAGTTGACTTTCCTAGCAGTCCTTCCCTTTTCCATACACATGCATTTTCTCTGCCCTCTGGCTTGCCCCCAAACTAGCTAAGTGGCATTGTGTTTACTGGTCATTCTCCATGAAAAATCCCTGTAAAGTTAAGTTTTGCTGGTTCAGCTTAATCCTAACCTTCACCCTAATTTACACAAGATACTTCTTGAACTCCAAGGCCCACACACCCTTCAAGCTTGCTTCTGTGGTCAACCCTTCCCTATCATTAGTCCCTTGTTCACCCACGCATGAGAGATCCCCAGGAAGAATTACCATTCATCTGCCTTTGCAGCTGCCGTCCACCTACTGCAACCAACCCCAATTCCCTTAAGCTGGCAAGTCAGCTCGCCCAGGAAGAAAAAGCACAAGCTTGCCATTGGTGCTAATGCGATCTCCACAATATAACAGAATCACAGAATCACTAAGGTTGGA